AAAAAATTAATTTTTTTAAAAAGTGAATCCTAAATTGAGTCAATCACGAGGATAATGCCCGAGAACCCGTTAAGACGCATGATGTTGAAAATTGAAATCACCTGATTTGAGAGTTTGCGCATGGCCATGGAATTTGCAATTGCACATCAATGTGAACTTTTGAATAAGGTCTGGTAGGAGTGGGTGCGGGTCGGTTGCGGCCATGAAACCTCCAATTCGTCATCCGTTCGTTAGATTAGCGGATTGAAAAAAATCAATCCGCATCTGTCCGCCAATCCGGCGGATGTGAATTGAGCGGATTGGAGGTTTCGCGAATGGATGCGAATCGATTTGGCGGTTTAAAATTTTATAAATTTTCAACATAATTTAACTTGTGCACTTCCTCAAAATAAAAAAATAAAAAAAGAAAGTATTACAATCAATAACTTAAAAAAATATTACAATCACTGTATGCTTTATTCAAAGAAAGAAAGTTTGAAATTTTAAAATATCACGATCACTGCATGCCTCATCCACATATTACAATCACAGCGTGATTCATCCACATAAAGTATTACAATCTGTGATTCTTAAAATATAATAACAATTCAAACCACCAAAACTATGAACAGAGCAGTATCTACATATGTTTTTGAAAACAAAAACCAACCAGCATATATCATATTTTCTATTTATTATTTTTAGAGTTAGATTTAAAAACTAAAAAATATAGATGAATAATACGTTTATTTTTCTCAATTCAAAAAATATATTCAAGTTGAAAACTTTTTTTCAACAGAATATTTAAACTCTTTTTCAATTGAAAACACAAACATAATATTTAAATAAATTGAAAATACAAAATCTTATAAATTACTAGGGGTGCTCGCGATTTGGCGGTTTGGCGGTTTGGTTGCGGCCACAAAATCTCAAATCCGTCATCCGTCCGCCAAATTGGTGGATTGGAGAAAATCAATCCGCAACCGTCCGCTCGTCATCACGCATCCGTCCAAAATGCAACGGATCGGTTCGGTTCGGTCGGTTTTGACAGATCGGTATATCCGCTGCTCACCCTTAGGGTCTAGCCAGGGCCGGCCTGAGGTTGAGGGACCTAAGACGAACTTTGAAAATGAAGGTCCCTCTTACATTGAAAAAAAAAAAAATTCATGAATAAACAATAAGTTATAACTTTTTTATTTATTTGTAGCCACAAAAAAATTTACTTGCACGTATAATCATTAAAATTATAAACAAAACAATTTAATGAAACAAAATTAGGGCAAAAAAATTAAGAAAAAATTATTCAATTAAAACTGATAAAGACCTAGGTAAAAAAATTTGGGCAAAATTATTTATTCTTCTAAAATCTAATAGATAAAGAAGGTTAAAAAAAAAAAATAGGGCCCATATATTGTATGTATTATTTTTCTTGGGCCAAAACATTTTTTTTTATATATATTTTTTCATTTTAATAAATATAAACAAAAAAACTACACTTATAAATAAGTATGGGCTAAACTATACATGGACCCAATAAATATTTTGGGCCCTTTAAATTGATCCTAAAACCAAAAAAAAAAAAAAAAACATTGAGCCTATAATATTTTACCAAATTTGGGGGCCCTATTTTGAGGCCAAAATTTTGGGGCCTAAGGCCTAGGCCTTATTGGCCTTAGGCCGGGCCCTGGGTCTAGCTTTTTTACAATTCAGAAACGAATTGGATGGTAACTGTTAAGCCATGATGGACCTACCTTTGGGCTTAGCTTAATAATTCAAATCGTTCAATGTATAGAGTTCGGCGAATATATCATTCTTCAAGAAATCTTGTTAATCAAATATCGATAGCCACTTGATTACCTTACATTTGTGTCTGTAATTTATTTTTAAAATCATAATTGCCATTAAAACAAATGCAATCTAATTAAATGTCTATCGATATCCAATCGACGTGATTTTTTACAAAAACGATATACTCAATAAACTTTACATATTGCACAGTTTGAGTCATCAAAATAAACCCAAAATTAAGCCCATCACAAACCGACCATTCACACACGACGTACATGAGAAAGGGAAAGGGTGCTTCTCACAACATACTATTATTTTTTTATTTTAATTATAATTTTGTTTCTCAAATAAATAATTAATTTTTTAATAAAATTTTAAAATTTAATCTCTCAATACATACCATCATCTCTCACTAAAGCACCACTAGCCACCGCTATTGCTACAACTTCTTTTTCCTCCTCTACCCTTCCCCAATCCCCTCTCTTTATAGCTATCGTCCTCTTCCATGCTTCCACTTCTACTGGCTCCACTTCCCTTCCTATCCCTTTCCTTATCCTCCTTTTCACCATCCCTTCACAACCTTCTTTTTATTCTTCTTCTAGGGTTTCAGGATGTGTCATAGTTGGAAAGGGGATTGGTAAAAGGGTAACAACGCAAATGGTGGTAGCCAATAGTGATTAGAGTTAGGGTTTGAAAGTTGAAGAAGATGAGAATATCTTGGTAATATTTAAAAATTGATGATGTAAATTAAGGTGTGAACTAAGAAAATGACGTGTACAGAGAGAATATGTAATATTATATATTTTAAAATTTTCAAAAAAGAAAAAGAAAAGTTTAAAAAAAAAATACTACTTATATTCAACTTCTTTTTCTCTCGTAAATTACTCAATGATTTCGTGATGTAAGCACAAAAAAGGACCGATATGGATGTGACTTGGGTTGTGAGGGATTTCGTTATGTTATTTTGTTTGTTTTATCTATTCTTGGAATGACTTCATTTGTTTTATCTCATTCTTAGAAGGACATCATTTGATTTTGGGGTTGGATGTGCTACATATTTCTTTTTATTTTTAATACACTAAGGCCCCGTTTGGGAACTTACCTTTTTAGTCAATTAGTCAAAAAATTATTAAATTAGCCAAAAAGTCAACAACTCATACCAAAAAGTCAAAGATTCTCTTTTCTCTCTACTTTTTGCACATCTTTTCGTAATTAGCCAAAAAGTCATCCCAAACATACAAGTTTTTTTTACTTACCTTTTTAGCCAAAAAGTTACTAAATTAGCCTGTTCCCAAACGAGGCCTAAACCTTAAAATTTGTGTTTTAAATTAAAAATCAAACATTTTTTAGTTGAAGGAGTAGAGTGACATTGAGTGATAATTTAAGAGAGTAATGTCTGATTTACTCTTATAATTACAGGGGTATTTTCGTCATTAAGATCTGAATTGAAAATAATTAATAAAAGAAGGGGTTAAATATTACAATTTTTAGTTCAACGGGATAAATGATATGAGACAATAGTTTAAGAGGTAAAATATAATTTGCTATTTTTTCTTCATAAGTTAAATTTCATGAAACTGATCTCTACTGAATAAAAGTTTTCACAACAATATTTGATTTCAACTCAATTTTATTTTCTTTATTTACAACAACTATATGTCATTACTATTTTATTTTATTTTTTACTAGATTAACTTAAATAATAAACAAAACTACATTATCTTCAATTAAAAATAAAAACATATCTTATATTAGCTTTAAAATATTATTTTACGTGCTTTTTAATAAGTTGGATAGAGTTACATAACGCTGTATTTGGTTAGGGAATTTGAAAAAAAAATTGAAAAAAGGAAAGAAAAAAAATTGTAAAACTAAATAAAATATAAATATATTTTATTCATATTTCACCTAAATTTTCTCTTTCCCATTTCCCTTTCCAAATCTCTTCCAAAAAAATTCCAACCAAACACAGCGTAAGAGATTCAAAAATATCATAGCAGCTATTAGCAAAAATAATATTAGAGATTCAAAAATATCATAGCAGCTATTAGCAAAAATAATATTAAAATATCTAACTAATTCTTCATTAAATGAGTCATACATGTCAACTTTGTGTTATGCAAATTCGGCACAAACTTAAATTGTTGAGCCTGTTTGATAACGTTTACGTTTTCAGTTTATATTTACAAAAATTTTATAAACTGATTTTTGTTTATTTTTAGAAAAACATAAACTACAAACACGTTTGGTTTAGACAAAATGTTTAAAAAAAAATTAAAATATAAAAAAGTGTGAGAAATGGCAAGTGGTGGAGGGTGGTGACGGCAGAAGACGGCGGTGGAAAATGATGACGGGTTGTGGTGGTAGAAAATGGTGGCAGGTAGAAAGTGATGGCAAGTGGCGGGTGGGTGAGTGGATTGTGGCGGCGGAAGACGATGGTGGAAAGTGATGGCAAGTGGCGGGTGGTGGCAGCAGAAGACGGTGGTAGAAAGTGATGACAGGTGGGTGGCTGGTGGTGGCAGGTGGGTGGTTGATGGCGGGTGGTGGTGGTGGTGGTGGGTGAGTGGGTGACAGTGGCGGGTGGTGGGTGGTAGCGAGTAAGTGGTGGTGGTGGTGGTGGCGGGTGATGGGTGGTAGTGGCAGGTGGGTGGTGGTGGCGGGTAGGTGGCGAGTGGTGGTGGGGTGGTGGAGGGTGGGTGGTGGTGCCGGAAGACGGTGGTGGAAAATGGTGGGGGGGGGAGGTTTTTTTTGGGTGGGAAAAAAAAAAAAAAACTCAAAACGTAAACTCATTTTTTGGCCAAATTTATAAACTAAGACCACTGATTTATAAATTAAAAATTTACCAAACAAATTTTTATTTGAATTTTTTAAATTTTTATATATATAAACTGAAAATTAAAAACGTAAATGTTACCAAACGCCACCTTAATATTCATGTTATTAGATCGTATCATACACATTTCTGTCAAAAAATAATCAATTTTAACAAATTAACTCCCTGTACAAGTCATGCCGAAAATTCTCATCATTAAAAGTATGTGCTACCGAATCAAGGCCCTACATGAATGGAATGGATTACCAGAGAGGAAGCAGAGGTAAACCATGAGCCTGCATTTTCCGGTGCTTAACCGAGCAAAAATGGAAAAAGAAGCTTCCTAAATCCACAAAAAAATACCATTATTGATGAGGCACACAAACAATTAAACAACCAGATTTTCAAAAGGCAGAAATAATTTGGCAGCATCAGGCAAAAGACCACTAAAATATATATAATACCAAAGTTGAACAAGAGGAGAAATTATACAAAACTAAAATGCAAATTCAACATTGCAAACATTACAAACTTTTATTATTATACAATTAACATTGCATATATGCACAAATATATATTTATATATAACACATTACAAATAATTTCATCAACCAGGAGACAGAAGAGCACACACCTAAACCCACCCATGTGTATGGTGTATATGCAAGGAGGGAATTTACCTTCATCAGATTCACCTCACAACTCGCCCTTCTACATTGTCCGTCTCTCGCATCGGATCAGGTACACCACCATCCACTCTAAGGTTACAAAGTAAAGCATCGCGTCCAGTTAGAACTATTTGGAAGAAGCCATCCACTTGCTTCGCAAGAAGATCTAGTCCTTGCGAAAGCATATCTGCCCTTTTCCCTAAATCCGACGTACAATTTTGAAGGGCTTCTACTTCAATTGGACCCACCCCATCCTGTATTGTGGGGTACAGTTTCTTGACACTCGTGTCAACTGCTTCAAGCTCTTTCAATACTGTAACCCTTCCACTAGAAAATATATTTCGAATCTCCCCATTTACATAAGTCTGCACATCAACAAAAGATTCTGCCCACAAGCAGGACTCCAGAACCTGTAAATCCACTAGCTTATTTGCAGAACCCGAGAAGGCAGCAGCAAAAATGCTACAGACAAACACGGTTACGACCTTAACTCCATACATGGCTCGCATCAAGACTTTCCCTTTGGCCGACTTTTTTACCTTAGGCTGGTTAAGTGTCTCTGTAAGACTGTCTAAGATGCCAAAACAATTCTCAAGTCTGCGATTCTTCGAACTAATGTGCTGCCTCCAGCCATCAAGTGAAGAGCAAGCCTTTACAAACTGGTTTGAAGGGGAGGCACCCAAGTTGTGCAAGGCACAGTGAAGCAAGACATGGCCCTGGTTGAGCCGTGAGAGCTCAGAACTGAAAGCAATGCAAATATCAAGCAGCTTCACGGTATTGTCCAAGTACAAATCAATCCATTTATCATCCCAATCACATACAGGGAGTTCAAGCTTTGTAATAACGCTTTTTATGTCAGTATGAGTTTGACAAAGCAACTCCATTGCCAATGTCATCCATGATAAGCTCAGGACTTCCTCCCTATCTTTTGGCTTAAGTTTCCTAAATCTCTCTGCCAAAGCATCCTCAAAATTGTTCAACAACTCAAGAAGCCTTGGAGAGAGATAGGAACCCTTAGGTAGCATCATTTTGAATGGATTACCAAATGGGAAGAAAGTTCGATGTGGATCCTGTGGACGACTCATTTCAATATATAATCTGCAGAGAAATTTAAAATGAAAGTCAGAGAACGTAATAGAAAAGCTTTTGTTGGGGGAAAAAACATCTTTAGGATGAAGAGTCGATTATTGTGATTTTTTTAGTGGGTTTTCAGGGGCGATTAATCCGTCCTTGAACCAAATTTTGGTTTTTGTAGAGCCCTTTGAATAGGTGTTTGATATACATATGATATAGTTTTCCTTTGTACACGAATTGCACATTCTCGGTGCCCCTTAAATAACAATCCTTTACTTATCAAAAACAAAAAGATTTTACCCAACCTTCGAATACTCAGCCATATTTGTATTAAAAAATATGATTGCAATGCAACTATACTATACAGCATCTCCAATAAAAAAAACAATTCCAAAATCCTTCTATTCTGCGATTCTTCGAACTAATGTGCTGCCTCCAGCCATCAAGTGAAGAGCAAGCCTTTACAAACTGGTTTGAAGGGGAGGCACCCAAGTTGTGCAAGGCACAGTGAAGCAAGACATGGCCCTGGTTGAGCCGTGAGAGCTCAGAACTGAAAGCAATGCAAATATCAAGCAGCTTCACGGTATTGTCCAAGTACAAATCAATCCATTTATCATCCCAATCACATACAGGGAGTTCAAGCTTTGTAATAACGCTTTTTATGTCAGTATGAGTTTGACAAAGCAACTCCATTGCCAATGTCATCCATGATAAGCTCAGGACTTCCTCCCTATCTTTTGGCTTAAGTTTCCTAAATCTCTCTGCCAAAGCATCCTCAAAATTGTTCAACAACTCAAGAAGCCTTGGAGAGAGATAGGAACCCTTAGGTAGCATCATTTTGAATGGATTACCAAATGGGAAGAAAGTTCGATGTGGATCCTGTGGACGACTCATTTCAATATATAATCTGCAGAGAAATTTAAAATGAAAGTCAGAGAACGTAATAGAAAAGCTTTTGTTGGGGGAAAAAACATCTTTAGGATGAAGAGTCGATTATTGTGATTTTTTTAGTGGGTTTTCAGGGGCGATTAATCCGTCCTTGCACCAAATTTTGGTTTTTGTAGAGCCCTTTGAATAGGTGTTTGATATACATATGATGTAGTTTTCCTTTGTACACGAATTGCACATTCTCGGTGCCCCTTAAATAACAATCCTTTACTTATCAAAAACAAAAAGATTTTACCCAACCTTCAAATACTCAGCCATATTTGTATTAAAAAATATGATTGCAATGCAACTATACTATACAGCATCTCCAATAAAAAAAACAATTCCAAATCCTTCTATCTAGACTAAACTCTAGGAAAGCAAACTTCCAAAATCATTTTTATAATATATATATATACATATATTAGTTTAGTTTAGTTAACACACATAAACGAAATGGCCTATTGCATTCTCTAGGTAATTCTGAGTATAACCCACTCATTATTATTGAGTCCAATGCAGCCATGAGCCATCATGCCAAATAATAGGAAAAACGCATGGCATCACTTAAAATCCTAAACTAAGATATACATGAAATGTGGTTAGTTTATTATTAGCCTCTCACATAATATCTAATTCAGTTTCTGTTAGGTCACCAAACCAAACATTACTCCACGAGGGGGGAAAGAAAAAAAAAAAAAAAAAAGAAGCGAACACTATACTTTTTCAGCATTAGGATGGTCCCTGTAACCCTCATTTATCTAGTTGTTAACAAACCATAGTAAACTAAAGGATTCTAATCTTTACAACCAAATAAATTTGAGTCAAGTTGAATTGTTCCTCTTTCCAAAACAAAAACAATAGTGAATAAGAAACCTTAAATAATTCATTTCCTATACAATCAACAAAGTGCAGATGATATTCAACAAATTTAAGAACACAAGCACCATCCCCCATATATATATATATATATATTTAATTATTTATCAAAGTTCAAGCATTTTCTTCATAACCTTGTTGAAACATTACATGCATAAATCACCACAATAGACACAGATCTAGACATAATCAGATAAATCTCAACGAATTAAACACTAACTAACCAACAATTCAAAAAATAAAGCAATCAACATATTAAAACACTCGCCAAATCGCTAGATCTTCGAATCAAAAACCAAGATGGAAACACAAACACTAACTCTCGTTGTTCCGCAAAACCTAACACTAGATAATCAGATAAATCTCAACAAATTTAACACTAATTAACAAAAAAAAATAAAAATAAAGCAATCAAAATATAAAAACACTCACCAAATCGCTAGATCGACAGAATCAATAACTCCGAAACAAAATTTCAAAAACGTACCGATTTTTAGAAACAGAATCAAGAATGAAATACAAACCCTAATTCTTGATGTTCCCACAAAACCTAACGATAGCGAGAGTACCTGAATCGGTATTCGCAGAGATTCCAGAACCCTCGAAGAAAGTCACAAAATGACGCGTGGATAGAGATCAAGATAAGATTCTCTGTGTGCCGCTCCTTTGAAATCGTCGCAAAGGGTTTTTTAGCTGAAGAAGAAATGTGATTTGGTGACCGTTGAACAAATACATAACAACAATAATTCGTCCCACCAAAAACATCATTACTAATAGCACTAGAGCAAGGATCCTCTAGAGTGGTTTTTTTTTAAAGTTTCCTAGAGTGTCACATTGTGTGGTTGAGATTTACTGGCAAGTCACATCAATTTTTCTGATGTGACTTGCCAATAAATCTCAACCACACAATGTAGCACTCTAGGAAACTTTAGGGAAATTTCACTCTAGAGGATCCTTGGTGATAGCACTAATGCATTAAAAAAATAAAAAAAAAAAAAAAAAAAATACAACTCCAAGACTAAAACATCACATCATTAATGACGGGACCCACTGCCACCTAATTAGTGGGAGCACTACGCATTTTTCAATACATAATGCATAACTCTGACACGTGGTACTACATTAATGGGCAGTCCTTGTACTGTAGGCCGTTAGTATTCCCTAGGTTTGTTTTCAATTTTTTGAAAATATTTTGAAAATATTCTACTTTTTTATTTTTATTTTTTTTTACTAAATTTTTTTAATATTTTAAGCTTCCGTTTGGGAAGTGGGTTGGCTTTTTGGCTTTTTGAATTTTTTGGCTATTTTAGCAGACTAAAACATCACATCATTAATGACGGGACCCACTGCCACCTAATTAGTGGGAGCACTACGCATTTTTCAATACATAATGCATAACTCTGACACGTGGTACTACATTAATGGGCAGTCCTTGTACTGTAGGCCGTTAGTATTCCCTAGGTTTGTTTTCAATTTTTTGAAAATATTTTGAAAATATTCTACTTTTTTATTTTTTATTTTTTTTTTACTAAATTTTTTTAATATTTTAAGTCATTTTTTTAAATTTTAGACATACTTAACATAAATACATTTAAAAAGTATATTTTCATAAATTTAAAAAAAAAATTCACTAAATATCAAAAATATAAAAAATACTAAAATTCAATGTATTTTTCATATTTTTGTATATTTAGATGTTTTGTTTGTTATGGCTAAAATAGCCTATTTTGTTTTTTGTGGCTAAAATAGCCAAAAAAGCCTGCAAACCCACTTGCCAAACACAAGCTAAGTAATTTTTTTAAATTTTAGACATATCTAACATAAATACACTTAAAACGTATAATTTTCATAAATTTAAAAAAAAAAAATTCACCAAATATCAAAAATATAAAAAATACTAAAATTCAGTGTATTTTTTATATTTTTGTATATTCATTAATTTTTTAAAATATTTTTTCACAAATATTTTACTTTTTAGACACATTTAAATAAGATACATCTAAAAAATTTAAAAAAAAGTCTAAAATTTTAAAAATATTTGCTAAAAATAAAAAAATTTATAAAACTGAAACCAAACATACTGATTATTTTCCTATTTTTGTTCTCATAAAAAATAAATAAAGATAAATTACATTCAATTTTTTTAAAAAAATTGTCTTACGACCTGAATATCATTATACTGATTTTTTTATAAATCCGATTAAACTAATGCAAATTATGAGTAGAAATTAAAATAAATAAAGATAAATATATATTTTAATAAAAATAAAAAAAATATATTTTTATTGGTGATATGTCAATAAATTATTTAATTAATGATTAAAAAATAATTTTATTTTGGCATGAAGGATTAATTTAATTTTATATATATATTCAAATCTTAAGAGTGGTGAGTATAATTTATATTAAATTTAAATTTAAAATAAAAATAATAAAAAATTAAAAAGTGAATACTCTCATAAGTCTAAAGGGGAGAGAGGAACTCCTTTGGCCATCTCCAACCGCATATTAAATTCATCACCAAATTTAAATTTGATAAAAAGTAACTTCTTTTCTTACTCTAACAGTTTTACCAAATACATATTAAATCGAGAATATAAAAAATGTTTCACCAAATTGAAAACATCTGGAACATTTTAGTATTTTATTATTCAAGACTGTTGTTTTTGGGCACCGGACAACTCCCGGACGATCTATCCGACGACCAACTGGACGTCCGGCCAGATGCCTACCAGGTCATCCGCTTAGTTGAAAATTTTCCACAAAAATAGGTGACATATAGATCCAAGTTTCCAAATTAAGTATAAAGAACTATTTTTGAGTGAAAAAACCAAGTGAGGACTAGTCCATATATAGATGAAAATGGTGGCTGTTAGGTTTGAATCTAATAGGTATGGTACCTGTTCGGACAGATCAACAAATCTGATTTGAATTTCAAACAGATAAAAACTATCTCGGGTTTGAATTTGGACAGATTCGAATCTGTTTGGACAGATATGAACCTGTACAGAAAAATTCTGAAGAGTTGTAACAAATTTGAATTCAAAAAATTGAAATTTAAACTGGACATTATTTTACCAAAAAATAAAATTGAATTCAAATGTTTTTTTGCCCAAAAAAATAAGTATTCGGCTGGACAAGCCCAACCTAACCTCATACCTTTCACTACGCATCTGCACCCAAGCTTAACCCGCCCAACCGACCGACCGGACAGACGGACGGATGGACGCGGTGCGCGTGTGTTTATTTTTGGATCCAATGGGTCTATCCCAATTTGCCCATAACCTCTCCATTCTACAAACTTAGGGTGCCCCTTGGGGCCCTCCCTAAATTACAAACTCATGCCTTATAAACCCACAAATTTTTTCTCACCAAACTAATGTGAGACAAGCCTTCCTTCAAACCTTAAGGAATTTTCATCAAAAACTCCATTTCTATGGAGTTCACTTGGGCTTCAATTTTCTATTCATCCGATAATGGTTTTGAACAACCAAATATACCACGTGAATCACAATGTGACATAGAACACGTTACCACTTTGACCCGCCAACTTTGACATATGGGTCTAATCTAAAAAATAGACCAAAGTTAAGAAAAAATCAGACATATTTTCCAAAACCATTTCTAACAAATTCAATATCACAACAACAAACTAGTGCTTGAAAGTTGACTTTACACTGTTGGTGGTTGATGTCTGAAGACAGGTTATCAAAAGTCAAATGGTGAGAGAATGGAGCTATAGCAGCAATCTCATAATGTAGACGTCCCCGAACGTCCCGGGAGGGAATCGGCTGTTTTGTTCAGTTGGGGCTCACTACAGTTCGGACTCAAATTGTCACGGTTCTTAATCTGATCTCACAATGTGCGATGTGAGATTGATAAATCACCAAAGAGTCCAAATCCGGCAAATCGTTTTGAAAAACAGATTTTTAGAAAGAAGTGCCAAATATGGACTGCTTTGCCAGATACAGAGTCGCCACCTAAATATTTTATTTTGGGGAAATTTAGGAAACTCTGACTCGTTGCCTAAGGCCACGTGTCCATCATCACCAAAGTTGCCTCGGCTCGGGAACTTGGGTACGATTGGGGAAGGTCAGCTATGAACACCCCCGCTTGCCCGATCCGTAGATCGGCCTCTACTAACAATGATATCGAGTTTTGAAAACATTATGCGTTCCTATTCCGGTTATTAGCCTAGGTTTACTATGTGATGCGCACAGCATACAAGTATAGACTGGATCGCCTGAATTGGAACAAAACATTTCATGTTTGTTTTGAAAACGGTTTGCTACTTGCAAGTAGGCTAAAATGTAGATTTTGCCACCCTCGAGTGGGCTTAGAAAACGCGATTTTACCACTTTCAAGTGGGCTTAAAACTCGCATTCAATGCATTGTTCCAATTCAAATAACCCAACAGTCACCCACAGGCACTCAGGCAGTTATATCACATAAGCACATAGTCTCATGGTAAAGCATGCTATCATGGCAACACTCACACGCATGCAAGGATGCTAAAGCATAAAAACTTACCGAGTACTCCAAGCCAAAACATAAACTAGTTAGTGAACATGCATGAATCCTAACTATGCTGAAATGCTTAATGCAACACATGCAAAAATGCAACCTAGATAGGCTCGGCTTTTCTAAACATGGCATATGAAATGCAACAGATAACATGTATTCAACTTGGAATTGAAATACCATGCAGTTAGTATGATGCACCGAGCCCGGCGCATGTAATACAGATGAATGAATGCACGCATGCATAACATAAGGTATGCTAATTTAAATATGCCCTAATACTAACCATTGAAAGCAGGTAAATAAAAGGGAGAAAGAAGTGAGGGTTGGAAGACATACACACACTCACACACACTTATTACACAATTGCCCTCGCTCGGAGGGTCCGAAAGAGTAATACAGGCCAAATAATGAATCAACTATTCTAGCTAATTAATTATTACAAAACTTCTAATTAATTAACAAATTAATTACAAAAATAGCCTAAATATGAAACTAAAGAGACCGCCACAACTCTGCCTCAGAATGCGTGGATGATGCATGCTCGATTTGCCTTGCTCGGAAACCCGTTACCATGCCACTGTTGCCTCTGTTTGCACTGTTCTCCACCTCTGAGAGATGTGAAAATTCTTAAGGCACCTCTGAACCATTCCCTGATCATTTTGGAATGCCACTAGCCAATGAAAAGCACCACCAACCATGTAAATGTGATCATAGACCATAAATTGGGTCACCGGCTGGACTCTGATGGTCGGTCGGCACTGAAAGTGGCCGGCCGGCCGACCATTTATTCCTGTAGAATCTTGTTTTTGCTGCAGCAGTGGACAAACAGTGCATGGCAAGGAAATTTCAAAGCAATGTATGTATGGCCACACTCCCTATCATGTTATGGACTCAAGGGAGTGTGGCCCTTGGTCCTCGGGCCACCAATCACACATCTCGATGCACGATGGCCAAAGGCACCAAGTTTGCCAATCAATGTAAATGAATGCAACAAAACAAATGAATACTTCACGCCCTATCATGTTGAGATCAAGGGCATCGGCGACCGAGGATTGAGACGTGTTTCTGTAACAACCATCGTCACTGTTTACCAATAACTACCGATTACTGCTAAACTGAGACTGATTGTGATTGATAACTGAAGTAATTGAACTGATTGAAATACTAAACTGACT